AAGTCTTCGGCTGACCCGTTGTTCACAAGGTCCGTGCCAAACAGCGCTTGCACGGCCACGCACAGAGCTCTGGCGAGACCTTTATTTTGTATATTGAGGATGTTGTTGACCTCTGCCGTCTTATTATATCCGACATGTCTGACACTGACAAAATACAGCACATCCTGAAAGGATCGAGGTCGACGCCTTTCTCATGCTTGTTGCGAAAAACCCCCAGACTGCCACTCAGCTGATTCAGCAATGTCAAAGGTACTACGAGCTGAGGAGAGAGCGCAGTTCTACGCGACTTCGAAACTTCGACACGACCAGCACATTTGCGTTAACCATTGGAACTGCTTCCTGTGAACAAACGACGCTAATGCATCAAATACAGTAGTTTGTCCGAAAAGTAGTGGCGCGCCAATTGTCTCTTGTGTCCTACATTCCGCCCAGTGCACACACGTGACCCCAATGCTCCGCAAGGCAATCGAAGAGCAAGTTTCTGACGCTCTGCTTCCAGCATACTATCATTCGCCTATATCTGCGCCACTGACTAACTCTGAGGCCGCAAGACGATCGTCGCCGTCGCTACTACCCGTCACGGAACCTGCTCGACAGCCCCGTCCCCTATACGCTGCGAGTGCAACTAACCATCCACACCCACCTCCTTTTCGCCACCCTACACAGCCGTCAACTAACCCTTGCCGCACATCACACAACAGGCGAATCTGCTACTACTGCCATCTGCCCGGCCATGTAGCGTGCTACTGCCGTCGTCGTGATTACAACTCAAGTGCTGGTGAGACGAGTTACGGCTCCTATCATCTCGAGCCGCCACAGTCGTCTTCGTTCCCCTCCAGGTCGGATCAGTCGCCATCACGTCGCCGCTCCTTCGACAGGGATCGGTCGCTCGCACCACGGCGCCGTTCAGTTTCTCCTATGCTTCCTCAATCGCCACCCACCCAAGCGGTAAACTGACCAGCGCAGTTCCCAAGGAGAGAGATGCGCACATATAAAAAACTTCAAGGCCTTCATTTTTGCCCGCGAATTAAACAGTCGTGCATATTGACGTTGCACTTGCGCAAATGCTCGTTGATACTGGTGCTGCCGTGCCCGTTCTTAGCGGTCAACTGTGCCGCAAGTTGAATAAGCTTACGCTACCGCTATCCGACGTCTCTCTCCGCACGGCAACTGCGCATCACATCCAACCTTCTGTGGCGTGCACAGCTCGACTGCTCATCCAGAATATTTTGTATTTAGTTGGATTCATTGTGTTTTTCCTATGTTCGCACGACGTCATCTTGGGCTGGGACTTCCTTTGTGCTCATCATGCCGTCGTTCACTGTGCGCGTGCCGAGCTAGAGTTGTTGACGATGTGTGAACTGCCCTTGTGTGAAGCGCCCACGTCTGATAGACTTTCTTTCCAGCTGTTATCATCTCGAGTCATTGTCGCCGCGCACACTCACAGCCCTCCTCTATTCTGCGTTCGTGTGCAACTCTTCTGCGACGATGCGCCCTCTGTCGCCGTCCTCTTTATCCCCTCCGATGCCCTCGGCTCTCGCAAAAGCTTCATTCTCCAGTTCGCCAGTTGACACCATAGAAAGCTCACTTGGCTCTATCTATATAACGAGCTCGCTTACTTGCCCAGCCATCCAACGCCGTGGTGAAGTCATCGGTCACCTTGAGGAAATTGATTCGGTGTCGTCCAGTCACATTTGCCATACTCACGTAAGCCCCTTTACTCCTGATACCACCCCCACTTCATCTCCAGAGTTTTTTTTTTCCGCCGGTTGACCCTGAACTTCCCGCTGCTCAGCGTACTCAACTTCTGGCTCTACTCGATCGCTTCAAGATGTCATTTGACTGTAGACAACATTCTTTGGGTCGCACGTCTGCCATCGGTCACCACATCGACACCAGTAGTCATGCACCTTTGCGCCAGCACCCATATCGAGTTTCTAACGCTGAAAACCGTGTCATCGATGATAAGGTGAACGATATGCTTCGACGTGGCGTAATACAACCTTCAAACAGCCCTTGGGCCTCTCCAATGGTACTGGTAAAAAATATTGATGACAGCATTAGATTCTTCGTTGACTATAGGCGTCTTAATAAGATCACGTGAAATGACGTTTATCCGCTGCCCAGAATCGATTACGCCCTTGATTGCCTGCAAGGAGCAGAGTTATTTTCTTCTTTAGACCTTCGATCTGATTACTGGCAGGTACCTATGAATGAAGCCGACCGCTCCAAGACTGCCTTTGTAACAGCTGACGGATTGTACGAGTTCAACGTGATGCTGTTCAGCCTCTGTAATGCGCCGGCCACCTTCGAACGTCTCATGGACAACATCCTCAGAGGCTTTAAATAGAACACATGCCTGTGCTATTTAGATGACGTCGTGGTTTTGTCGAAATACTTCGACTCCCACCTCAGCCGCCTCGCAAGCGTCCTGACTTGTTTTACGGACGCTGGACTGCAACCGAATTTTAAGAAATGTCACTTCGCCGCCCGCCAGCTTACCATCTTGGGGCATGTTGTTAGCAAGCATAGTGTCCGTCATAATCCAGCCAAGCTTCGCACTGTCGGAGACTTTCCCTGGCTGGTTACAATAAAAGAACTCCGCAGCTTCATAGGCCTCTGTTCATATTTTCACCATTTTGTGTGCAATTTCGCCACCATAATTGTGCCTCTGACACAGCTACTTGCTGACAACCAACACACATCGGCGTGGTCCCCCGCATGCGATGAAGCATTCGTCTTTTTACGCCATTTTCTCACATCAACACCTATAATACTCCACTTTGATACAGACGCTCCAACATAAATGCATACGGATGCTAGTGAAGTAGGCCTCGGCGCTATTCTTTCCCAGCGTAAATCTGGTTTTGATGAATATGTTGTTTCATACGCTAGTCACACTCTCACTAAAGCGGAAAAGAACTACTCAGTCACGGAAAAAGAATGTCTTGCCATCCTTTTGGTAGTCACGAAATTCCGGCTTTACGTATATGGTCACTCATTCTACGTCGTGACTAATCACAATGCATCGTGTTCATTGTCATCATTAAATATCCAACTGGTCGCCTAGCTCACTGGGAGCTACGTCCGTATGGTCCGTACCGGGTCCTGCGCCAGACATTGCCAGTCAACTACATTGTTGAGCCTATGAAGCCACCTACAGATAAACGGCACCGTAGACACAAAACTGTGCACGTCGACCGTTTGAAACCCCACTATGACCCACCAGTCTTGCCTGTACCATATGTCGCCAAGATGGCTCCTTTTCGACCGGGTAGTAATTGTAGTGACGAATTTGGGCACTGCTGGAGCAACGACGAAGATGACTTTTTTTGTGGCTGAGGCTCGTGCTCCTTCGGCCGAAACGCTTGGCTGCTGTCTCGTTGCGGTCCACCAGCACATGTTGCATTACCTGGGCATCAAAAGTATGCCTAATATATATATATATATATATATATATATATATATATAGAGAGAGAGAGAGAGAGAGAGATGATCAGAGTTTCTTCCGGCTACCGCAATAAAAGTTATAAACTTCGAGAATAGTGCAGTATAGGAAACAAAACAATAAAATATTTATTTAATCCTAACAGTTTCGGCTGGTGGACCAGCCTTCTTCGGAGGATGTAAGTGAAATGATACAAGTTCCCGTAGCAGAGGGTCACCCTCACAGTTTAAAGACCCTCCAAAAAAGAGAGAGAGAGAGAAAATGACAAGCTGGCGAACGAGGTAGCAACAGACAACAAGAAGCAGAAGAAGGAGAGGAACTAGAAAGGAGCGACGGAGATATATATATATATATATATATATATATATATATATATATATATATATATGTGTGTGTGTGTGTGTATGCATGTATGTATGTATGTGTGTGCGTGTGCGTGCGCGTGTGTGCGTGTGTGCGCGCGCGCGCGTGTGTGTGTGTGTGTGTGTGCGTGTGCGTGTGCGTGTGCGTGTGCGTGTGTGTGTGTGTGTGTGTGTGTGTGTGTGTGTGTGTGTGTGTGTGTGTGTGTGTGTGTGACAGAAAGGCAGGCGATGTCATCAAGTATTTCAAGATCCAGTTTACTATCCCGCACTAAAAGTAGGGCAAAGGGTACAAAACGTGTAAAGAAAGCTTGAATTTACGCACGTTATTTTTGAGTAATCGGCGGTACAAAGTATTCAAGGAGGGCCTCCAGTGTGTTACGTGTGATCACATCGGCATGAACACAATCACATGAGCCACTCGATATCAGCCAAAGTTCAAAAACAAGAAAGTGGTGCCCCGTTTTCGTATACTGCAGCTTGTCAGAGCCGAGCTAAGTTTAATTGTTAACCGTCTTTCGTACCTAACTCTTGGTTGCTACCAGTGAATTATCCATTCACCAGAGCCTGCAGCATCAGAGGCAGGAAAGAGTGAAAGCTAACATACTCTGGCCCACAGCAGATGAGCTAGGCGCTTCACCGGAACGTGATGTTCACTGCTTCTCCAATAGTGCACAGATTTGGCGACCCGGAGCGAAGGTTCTGCAGTGAAGATTGCTGCTGTGGTAAGAGTGCCCTTAAGGCACTTGACACGAGCCGTCTAGGGACTTCTGGTCGCCCGCTTCAGTATGATATTCAGTTCGTTGTCGGTCTAGAAAACCTGTAGTACAGTAATGAAGAAAGGCACGTCTGAGGTAATCAGCAGCGGCTGGTTCAAGTAATAACACCGCAGCCGGCACTGTCACCTTCGCGCAGACACATCCCAAGCGGCCGTCGTAAAGGAAAAATAACGATTCCGCCTATCGCAGGCGCTGTGCCTCGGTGCCGGAAGATCAGCTGTACGAGGAGATACGCAAAAATGCTTCTTTTCTCTACCTTTAACTTATCTTTTTTTATGTACCATCGCGGACGTTCTGTTTTGCGTGGCAGGTGTCGCTGGAAATAATTAAAACGAATGCATGTCTTGTAGTGCCGCGATAAAAGACCACCAGCTCATTGTCATAAATGTCTCGCTCTCCTTTCTTTCCGTGTAGGTACGTAGCACGGGCGATATTGCAGCGCATGTGTCCACCTTGCTGGCATGATCAAATGAAGATGAACCGACTCTACTAGCCGAAGATGCTGCGAGCGGGTTCTGATCAAACGGTGAGGCGTTCTTACAGTGATGCCGTACGCCCAGTTGCGCTGCAGCTTCGGCTGAGTGCTTCTGTGACGGCAGGTGCTGTTGAAGTGCATTTAGCTGTGACGATGCTTCTTCTTTCTTATCCACGTAAGGGGAAAGTTGCGAGTCTTGAGTGGGTTTTTAAGTGCGGGGCGATGACTTCAAGTTGCCTCACGTAAATTGATCGCTCACGGGGTTTTCTGCGCTATAGGAGAGAAAAAAAAAAGAAAGCAGGTCGCAGACTGGTGATGGAGGCCAAGCAATACAAAAACTTCGAAATCTATAGAGCCGATGATACCCTATTATTTCGTTGTGCGCAATTCAACAAAGTCAATATACAGCTATTGGTTGACTGATCGATTATAAGACTTGCTTTTTGTAATGTCAAAGCACATATTCAGAAAACCCGAGTCCGTCGACGGCTACAACTGGCCTTTGGCATATTGCAACTTGAAAAAAAAAACGCTATAGACGACGAAGGCACCTTTTCATGAGTGCCCAGTGGTTATAAACTACACCAGCATTCATCCTGCAATTCGTTACAGTTGTAATACAATGTAGGAAAAATTCCACTACAGTCGAGCTTCATGTTTTCAGGAATAACCAGTGTCACTTTGAAGGAGACGTCTGTAGCAGAAGACTCCCTCCTCAAAACAGAATTCAAATTTTCGTCTCTTCAATATTTATGCTGTGTTCGGTTGCTGCATTAATAATTTTGTCTAACACGCTCTTTTTATTCTAGACAATTCACTTTTGGTGGTAGCAGATAGCCATTCCTTTTACTTCTAACACAATCTTACGGGATCTTATTAATAAAAAACTGCACTTATAATACACAACTTTTTTTTTCGTGAACAGAGCGTCAGCCCGTCATGTAGCACAAAAGTCTAATCAATACTGCAATCTTACTGAAGAAGCGAACAAGAAGAAAACATAGAAAATATATGAGTATTGAATGTCTGAATCGGTGCATAAATAGAGCGCAATCTTTCCGATAGTCCTCTCAACTTTCTCCGTCATATAATTTATTGTTTCCTTAGCAATTACGTTCTCACAGCAAAGGACAGAGGGCGCATAATACTTGGGGAATTTATTCGAGAGTAAGCACATTGTCCTCATTACAGCCCTGTGGCGAATACATTGCGGCAGTGGCAACGACGGCGCAATGAAAGTTGAAGTTATGCAGACGCTGGAAATTCCGTATTGACGAATGGATTAAACTCTGTCCCGCCGTTCAGAGCCAATTACATGTTGGTAATGAGCCTATTCGATGTTGTTTAATCCGGGATGCAGCGTACGAATTCTGATGAGGCCTAAATGAAAGAACACTGATGTCGCGTGGTTGAGAATATAGAAAAGAGGCGGGGATCTTGCAAGCACAATATTCCTGTTTTCTGTTTATGGGTGTACTTTAGGTTTCTGAAGCAAAGCTAATCACAGCAGAAACTACAAATTACGAGAAGAAAGAAAGAGATGAGGAAAAGAGCTAAGACGGGTACATTACCGGCCTAGAAATATGGTATGATATCTTACATTGAGGAAAACGATAAAGGAATCGGAAAGAGGTATCTAAAGGAAACACAAGCACAAAGCCAGAGTCGACAAATTTGCAAAATTGCTATTGGTCTGTAAACGCTGGCGCAAGTCTGTTTTCTTAAAGAACTGTAGCACTGCCTTCGTCACCTACCTCCGCGATGGCTACTCAGGACGACATTCTGAAATAGGTGCTCTCACCACAAATCATCAGAATAAAGTAGCGTTATTTTTCATGTACTTTCATTCCAAATAATTTGCCTGTATTTTGTGAAAACGTGCAACCATGGATGCTCTGACACTTGTGTCAGAGTGAAACAAAACGCTTACTTTTTAATTTTATTGTATTCTCAAACGAGTGAACATTAAAATTACGTGGGAAGTTGATAACCGTACATCAACAACTAAATAAAAACACACAAGCAGCAAATGGGGCTGACTAACACTAAACTGGTTGGTTAATTGAGTCCGGGAGTCATGATGGCCGTAGTGGCCTGACGAAACACCGAGGCATTCCTGATAGCAACAACCGTGCTGGGGAAGTTGTCGCAGTTTTGAGAGAGCAAATGATTCGTGACAACTTCTGATATAGCAGTGCATTACTGCAACCTCATGGATATTATGAATGCGAGAGGCAATGTAAGTAAAAGGTGACGTAGGGTTATCACACAGTAGAAAATTGTGTAAATATATGTTCCGGAATACAGCAAGGAGAAAACAGGTCTGGATGACAGGGAAGTAAGTTGCAAGAAGTTTTTCATAATGGTTATGTTTCATGTGCAGCCATATGTAACTTATTTATTTATTTATTTATTTATTTATTTATTTATTTATTTATTTATTTATTGAATACTACTGGCCTGAATTTTCCGGCTTTAAGAAGGAGTGGATGGATTACAGTGTGAATGGGTTGGTTACAGCTATGAAACCACATCGTGCTTTCGTGAAAAATGAATTATTGTATTGGTGTTTTGCAAACTGTAGGTAGAAAGTACGCTCAAAAACCTTGCAGGATGTGCTGATGAGGGAGATGGGATGGTAGTTTAGGTGGCGAATGTCTCCTGCTGGACTCATCAAGCCGCACCACCTTACGAATATTTCAGTCAACCGGTAGCCGATGGGTGCCTAAAGAATGCAAGAATATCTCAAAAGTAGAACAGATAAATAAACAAACTTCTTGCCCAAGCTCTGCACTAATTAAGTCAGCGCTAGGACTTCATGATGACCTAAGACCTTTAATTAGATTTTCTACTCCAAGTGGTTTCATGATAAAAGTTATACTACAGTAATTGTAGTACTGAAAAGTTGCAAACACAGGATTAAAACATACTACATTGATGTTGCAGAAAACAGTATTGAGAACCTGGAGACAAACACTCTCAGCTACCGGTGGATCATTGGGTCGGAGTTATCATTAGAGAAGAAGTGATTATAACACGCCAAACTTTTCCATGGCCATTTGTAAGCATTGTAGGTAATGTGTGCACGAGGGATGTCTTTCGGCCAAGCTTTATTGCTTTTATATACGCACTGTTTGCATCGTTGTAAGCGTCCCAGTTCTAAATCGGAGGACGTTCTTGTGGTTATTTGATATCTTTTGTGTGTGTGTGTGTGTGTGTGTGTGTGTGTGTGTGTGTGTGTGTGTGTGTGTGTGTGTGTGTGTGTGTGTGTGTTTGCGTAAAATCCTTTTTGACTGGGATGAGTCATCTCAAGCATCTTGGTTTGGAAAACATTTCTGTTTTCGCCAATCGTACCAGGAACAAAATAGTTAAAGAAGGGTTAAAAAAAGTTAGCTATATTAATAGTAATAACATCAAAGATTGCGCTGTCGTAGTTATCAACTAATTTTTGTTCTTGAAATTGCTTCAGAGCGGGGATACTGAAAATTGAATAAAACGTGAAGGCGATCACTTATGCCTGGCATGCACGAAACATTATCCAGTGTAGCTTGAAAGGAGGTACATATTATTGTTTAGAAAACGCACCAGACTCTGTTGAAACTTGAGCAGTATTCCAGCCAATTATTTCCCTCATCTCTAAGTGTATAATTCGCCCTGGTCATTTTAGTGTCAGAACAACAAGGCTCGTCATTAGGAGAAAAAAAAATTAAATGTGTGCATTTTGTGACAGCTGCTTTCTCCCAAATCTTACTGTTTTGCGGCAATACAAGGCTCTTACGCAGCTGACTGCAGCCTACAGTTTACTTCTGAGTCTATGCGTGTCTATGAGGCTAGCAATGATTTCCTCCTTTTTTTCGTCTTTGTAATGGTTCAGACATCGAACACCTTCATTTAATTCTGTGTCGCGCGAAAAACTCTTAACGTCTCACGCTTCAAAGTCTCCCATACTAAACGGGCAGCGAACTTTACAAGTACTCGAGCGCCTACAGCGGCAGTAATGCAATGGTTTTTGTTATAGGCGTTAGCAACACCCATCCTCTTTCCCTCGTTTTCTCTTTTCACGACCAGTCCTAAAGAGTTCACCCTAGCAACCAAAACACGCTTTTTACACAAAAGACTTCCAGCGTTAGCTTCTTTCGAAGTATGTCAGGCTCCATCGGTCAAAGAGCCCAGCCAAGCGTCCCCAAAGTCGACGGCAGCAGCAAGAAAACCACGAGCTTTCACTGACCAGAGAGGACACACGCAGAAAATAAAGAACAAGGGCTTCGCATAAAAGCCCCACCTAATCCTGAGGAATTTCGAGCTTCTAAGGAACGTGTGGAGAGCATACCGTCGACCTTTGCTTCGGTCAAGAGCCTTTTCAGCCGTCCGCCACTCTCATCCTGTCTTTCCCGCACTGCTATGCCTTTTTTTGTGTGATTTCTGAAAGCACCCGCTCACAGCGAAAACGGTGCAGTATTCACGAAGAACTGGGAAGTGCAGCAGTTCGATAAAAATTGTGTCCTCAGATAAGTTAAAACGTGTTTGTAAAAAAAATACCAATGCACTAAGCCTCGCCCCAGAGGCAATATGTCGTATGTTAACCAGTTCATTTCTGTTTAAAAACGGTGGTGTCAACAACAGCTCGCAGTAACGTGTAATAATGTGCCTGAGATGAATGCAGAGTGAGTTGGGCTTCGCAATAACTACAGCTGACTCAATGGCTCGGGGGAACCAGGTGCCTTTGATTGATTGATATGTGGCGTTTAATGTCCCAAGGCATCTCCGGAATTAATTCATAATTTTCATACAATGAATAAACGCACAACCACAACATGACCACATGAACTTGTTTTCATAATCAATTTCAGTTTTGAACGCTTTTTTGCATGTGGCATTCGACTAAATGTCGAAAGCAGGAGATCAATACCACTCTTTTTCGTATTTCGTCCCATATCATACATGAATGAACTTGAACGAATACATGAAGTTGATTGACAAGTTACAGAAGCACGTGCATGACACCATACCCTAAACTTCGGTGCTTGATCACGCGCGCTTCGAACTTTTCG